CCTCTTCCTATTCCGAGTTAATATCTGGTCTAATTTTTAAAACATTGATAATTTCGTTTGAATACAAACCAGTACGCATCAACTATAAGCCCAAAAGAACTAGATCCCGTAAACAACATAGAGGGGTCACATTCTAATGACTCTTTCGATAATTAGTAAGAAACTCAACTTTGTACTGCGCATGTTAATTCATTATATGGACGGGAAATCCCTAGCTCTAATTGTTGCACAAATACATTTACCATCGTATAATAATGAATAACAATGAACATCAAACAATGTCCACTTCTACCATCTCCTCATCAGGTCCATCGATATCTAGTTATCTACATTCTCGTCATCTCCCATGTACTGCAAAGGAAACAAGCTACTACTCTTAGGTCAAATTTTAAATTGCAGCTTAAGAATGCAATAATATTAAAAGAGAGATCACATATCAAGCATCAATATTCCACGAAGATTCACCCTACATCTTTTTCTCATAAAGTGTTTTTATAGGTATATCCATGATACAATAGTCATGCATCCAGAACAAATTATAAAGTTAGTGGCCTACATCTCGAGGTTAAACAGTATATTAGCATACATGTTATCCATATGGCTATACCACTGATGCAATAAATTACTTTTTTCACAGAATAACATGACCGAGACCCAAAAAACACAACTTTTATGCAGAGATTTTTAGAATGTTAGAAGAAAATAATAATAATTTACATATCCTAACGGGGTATATAGCCTTGTTCAGTTGAATGACTATTAATAAGATTTGCACACTTAGGAGCCTTTTTTCCTAGAAAGGAAATTTAAATGTCCAGCCCTTTCTCTATCCCTATACAATAACAGAGACAGTTTTGAAAACACTGTTCACACTTTAGTCCAATTAAACGACCTCGTTTTGGCATGAATCCCTAAAAAAAAAATCGATTGCTCCATTTCATTTCATTTTGCCTGTTTTCAATCCCTCAATTTCCCGTCGATGAGCTTCCCTTTAGCTTCTCCAGCCATTATCCCTCTAAAATTATGTTTTGTATAATCTACTTTCAGCATACAAAACACATAAGCATAGAGATAATAGGCAAATGATTCCCCACTTGTTTCTGGTATTAAATACATTCATTGAAAATTTATTTATTCACATAACAAAGAACCATAAATTAACAGATCAGTACAGCTATATGATGTAATATATGATCTTGCCTCAGAAAGTTGAAGGATTTGTAAGTAGTTTATCGTGTATATGCTTTTTAAAGAATACTTGTATACAGATAA